ACTTTTTAAATATACCTTTTGAGAAATGTCTATTTAGGTCCTTTGTCCACTTTTTAATTGGGTGTTTTTTATTATTGATATTGAGTTGAGTTCCTTATATATTTTGGATCCTAGCCCCTTTTATGGTTTGCAAATATTTTCTCCCATTCCATAGATTGTCTTTTCAGTCTGTTGAGTGTTTCCTTAGCTGTGCAAAAGCTTTTTAGCTGATGTAAGCCCATGTTTTTATTTTTCCTTTCATTGCCTGTGCTTTTGGGGTCATATTTTAAAAATCATTGCCTAGACCAAGGATAACATTTTCTTGAGAGTAGTGTTCTCACTAAGCCAGAATGGTCTTTTCCAATTCCTATTACCTATTAATTGGAATAGGTGTACAAGGCAACTTGAGTAGAATTGGTATGCTATGAGATAGTTTTGAAAGCTTTCAAAATACAGTCATGTGCTGCAAAACAGCGTTTTTCCATCAATGATGGACCATATATACAGTGGTGGTCCCGTAAGATTATAATGGAGCTGAAAATTCCTATCACCAAGTGACATCACAGCAGTCATAATGTCATAGCACAATACATTACTCACATGTTTGTGGTGATGCTGGTGTAAACAAACCTACTGTGTTGCCAGTGGTCTAAAAGTATAGCATATACAATTATGCACAATATATAATACTTGATAATGACAAAAATGACACTTCTGGTTTATGAAATTTACTACACTATTCTTTGAAATCATTATTTTAGAGTGCTCTTCTTCTACTTATTTTTTTTAAAAAACTATAAAGCAGCCTCAGTAAGGTCCTTCAGGAGGTATTCCAAAAAACACAGGCATTGTCATTGTAGCAGATGAGAGCTCCATGTATGTTACTGTTGCCCCTGAAGACCTTCCAGTGGGACAAGAAGTAGAGGTAGAATACAGTGACACTGATGATTCTGTGTGTTGTATCTTAGTTTTTAGCAAGAAAGTTTAAAAAGAAAAACAAAAATCCTTAAAAATAGAAAAAAGCTTCTAGAGTAAGGTATAAGGAAAATATTTTGTACAGCTGTATAATGTGTTTGTGTTTTAAGCTAAGTGTTCTTACAAGAGTCAAAAAATTAAAAATTAAAAAGTTTAGAAAGTAAGGAGTAATAGTAAGCTACGGTTAATTTATTATTCAAAAAAGAAAAAGGCCAGGGGTGGTGGCTCACACCTGTAATCCCAGCATTTTGGGAGGCTAAGGTGGAGAGAATCACCTGAGGTCAGTAGTTCGAGAGCAGCCTGGCCAACATGGCAAAACCCCGTCTCTACTAAAAATACAAAAATTAGCCGAACATAGTGGCAGCTGCCTGTAATTCCACCTACTCGGGAGGCTGAGGCTGCAGTGAGCTGAGATCACGTCACTGCACTCCAGCCTGGCCGACAGAGTGAGACTCCATCTCAAAAAAAAAAAAAAAAGAAAAGAAAAATATTTTTATAAACATACTATAGCCTACATGTCTAGTGTTTATGAAGTCTAGAGCAGTGTTTAATGTCCTAGGCCTTCACATTCACTCACCACCCACTCACTCACTGACTCACACAGAGCAGCTTTCAGTCCTGCAAGCTCCATTTATGGTAAATGCCCTATACTGGTGAACCATTTTTGATCTTTTATACCATATTTTTACTGTACCTTTTCTGTGTTTATATACACAAATACTTACCACTATGTTACTATTGCCTGCAATATCCAGGACAGTAAAATGGTGTACAAGTTGTAGCCCAGAAGCAGTAGCTACACCGTATAGCCTCGGTTTGCAGTAGTCTGTACGATCCAGGTTTGTGCAGGTGTGCCCTGTGTTGTTTGTGCAATGATGAAATCGCCTAATGCATTTTTCAGAATGTGTCCCTGACTGTACATTTAAAACAGGCATCATATCAGGTCTGTATTTCTGTCAAGCCTGATGACTGCTTGGAGGTGCCTCTGTCCCTGGCTGCCTTGGAGTTGAACATTCTAACAATAAAGCACTTTTTCAGAGTTGCTCTAACATTAGGTATATTTCTTATGCATTTGGTGAGACATATTTGCAGTGGGTGGTGAGCGTTCAAGACAGTAGAAATATGTCCATCAACCTTCTTTTCACCTGTTCTCATGACTGTAATTGAGGTGAAGATGTCTTAAGTATTTAGCTATGGCAGCAATTTCTGCAGTGTTACTGATTTATCAGCACAGAAGGATTTAAAAAAAAATTTTTGAGCCTTGCCCAAATGAGGCTGTGGACTATAAAATGTCAAAAAGTGTATCATGGCATTGTCTTAGTCCTCTCAAGCTGCTAGAACAAAACACCTTAGACTGGGTGGCTTATAAACAACAGATATTAATTCTCAGAGTTCTGGAAGCTGCAAAGTCCAAGATTAAGCTGCCAGAAGATTTGGTGTCTGGTGAGGGCCCTGTTCCAGTTCATAGATAGTCATCTTTTCGGTGTCGTTACAGAGAAAGGGGCAAAGGGTCTGTTTCGGGCCTCTTTTATAAGGGCATTAATCTCACTGATGAGGGCTCTGCCCTCATGACCTAATCACCTCCCAAGGGCCCCACCTCCTAATACCATCACCTTAGGGGTGAGGATTTCAACATATGGATTCATGGGAGAATAAACAACCAGGCCATTGCAGGCATCTAGTTTCTCCTTACATAGATATATTGGCCTAGGTGCTAACAATGGCAACATGATCTCTTGATTGAGCTTCTCGATGTCCAGGACTGACCTTACGAGTTCTCATTATTAAATATTTAATGTGGCCAGGCACCATTGCCATGCATCCACTCCACCCTCATGGAACAATCTTCACAGCTCTGTGAGGAGCACACTGTCATTACCCCATTGCACACAGTTGGAAAGAGGCAGACCCAGGACTCTTGCTGAGCCTGAGGGCTCCTGGACAATTCAGGAGAGAAAGGATAGTGGGTACTAGGCACGAGTGGGCATAAAAGAAATTGAGGTCACTTTGCTGAGATATTTGGCCCTGCAGAAGAGAGAACAGTGGAGTGTTTGTGCCTCTCCACTTCTGCCCAAGATATGAGAGAAATAATTTTGAAGACACAGATAAGAAAGGGAGTAATTTTAGGATGCTATAAATAGAGACACAGTCAGTTCTCCTAAAGGCAGGAAGGAATGGAATCAAGGAAGAAGGCAATGCAGGGAAAGAGGAGACCTCTATTCCTTTACCAACACACGCAAAGATAAACATAGATGCCAATACAATGCTAATAGCTCCAGGGCCCATATTTTCTGTGTCTTACTAAACTTTTGATAAATGCATGTTGTACTGATTAAAACCACAAACTCGTAAATTAAACACTGGTTTATACTCCAGCTCACTGAGTGAACTTGGTCAGGTTATTTAGCCTCTGTGAGCCTAAGTTCCCTGTATGAAAGTAGAAATAATAGTAGTATAAGAGTAGCTTATGGCCGGGCACAGTGGCTCAGGCCTGTAATCCCAGCACTTTGGGAGGCCGAGGAGGGCAGATCACGAGGTCAGGAGATCGAGACCAGCCTGGCTAACATGGTGAAACCCCAGCTCTACTAAAACCACAAAAAATTAGCCAGGCGTGGTGGTGGGCGCCTGTAGTCCCAGCTACTCGGGAGGCTGAAGCAGGAGAATGGTGTGAACCCGGGAGGCGGAGCTTGCAGTGAGCCGAGTTCGCACCACTGCACTCCAGCCTGGGTGACAGAGCGAGACTCCGTATCAAAAAAAAAAAAAAAAAAAAAAGAGGGGGAGAAAGAAAAGAGTAGCTTACCTGCCCATCAGTGCATGAGAGGATAAACAAACTGTGATATATACATACAATAGACTACTATTCAGCCGTAAAAAAGGAAGTACCAATACACGATAGAACATGAAGAACCTCAAAAACACATGTGAAGGGAAAAATGCCAGATACAAAAGTCGAGACTAGGTAAATCCACAGAGACAGGAAGCAGGGACAGAGGGAGAGGGGAATGAGAATCAACTGTTGTATGGGGTTTCCTTCTCGAATGATGAAAATATTCTGGAACGAGATAGTGGGGATGATTGTACAACACAGTAAATGTATTAAATGTCTCTTATTTTCTTCACTATAAAATGGTTACTTTTATGTGAATTTCACCTCATTCAAAAATTAGTAGCTTATAGAACGGTTCTGAGGACCCAGTGGGTAAAAAATCTCCGTGAAACAGCATGCCCAGAATATGATAAGCACCCAATAAAGGACTCCACAAAATTATCTGTTGATAATATTGCCCCTTATATTATTCTTTCCGCTTTTTTCCCCTAGCAATGTCAGTCTGTTTGTGTGTGTGTGATTTGATCATGCTGGCGGATTTCTTTATTGTACTGTCATCACAATAGTGAGTGAGTTCTCACGAGATATGGTTGTTTAAAGTGTGTGGCACCTCCACTCCCGCTCTGTCATCACAATAGTGAGTGAGTTCTCACGAGATATGGTTGTTTAAAGTGTGTGGCACCTCCACTCCCGCTCTGTCATCACAATAGTGAGTGAGTTCTCACGAGATATGGTTGTTTAAAGTGTGTGGCACCTCCGCTCCCGCTCTCTTCCTCCGGCTCCAGCCGTGTGAAATGCTTGCTCCTCCTTTGCCTTCCATCATGATTGTAAGTTTCCCGAGGTCTCCCCAGAAGCCGAGCAGATGCCAGCATCATGCTCCCTGCACAGCCTGCGGGACTGTGAGCCAACGAAACCTCTTTTCTTTATAAATTACTCAGTCTCTGCTATTTATTTATAGCAGTGCAAGAACAGACTAATATAGTGTGTGGTATGTTTTGCGGAGAAATAGAATAAAAGTTAGCAGTGAGAAAAATTTTCAAGGTTCATTTCTTTAAAAGGATTCAAGAAAACACATTTTTGGGCCATGAGGGTTTTGATACCACCACCTAGGTAGGAATGGTCTCTGGTACAAAATAGAAGTTCAGTAAGTATTTGTTGAATGAATAAATAGTTCCAAAATTAGAATCCCACATTGTAGTGCTGTTCTTTCTATATCCAGCTAAGAAGGGCCCCTGGAGAAGTTTGCTTCCCTGGAGGTAAGCGTGATCCTACAGACATGGATGATGCAGCCACGGCTCTCCGGGAAGCCCAGGAGGAAGTGGGGCTGCGTCCTCATCAAGTGGAAGTTGTCTGCTGCCTGGTGCCATGTCTTATTGATGTAAGGGTTTCCTCAGACACTGGAGCGCCGTCCCCACCCCCAGGTGGATCTACTGTTCTCAGGATTCCACATTTTCCAAACATAACCCCAAAGAGTACTGTACATAAAGTCAAGAAACCAGGTTCTCCAATGGACATTGCCCCTCGTGAGCCAAGTGGCTGTGGGCAACCCCTTTTGCCTCTCTGGACCCCATCCAGAAATAAAAGGGTTGAACTCCCATCAGTGGATTTCAAACTGGGTGCCATAGAACCCTAGAGAGATGCTTCAGAATTATTAACATTCAGTTCACATTTATTTTTCTCCAGTATACATTGATTTTGAGAGTTCAGTTGAAAAAATAACACACACTCCAATGTGCTGGATACCAAATTTTAGCCCCTTGGAGACCACCAATGCATTACTTCTGCCATAAAGATACTTATTTTTCTACATACTATAGAATAAAGCCTCTCTGTAACACATTAATTGAATGGACCATGAAATCACTAGGCAAGCTATTTAAAAACTATTACTATTCATAACTGCATTTGTGTTGGATCAGGATTTCCTTGATAGTATAATATACATCAAAACATATTTAAAATATTTTTTAAAATGAATTTTGGAGCTGATATAACCAGATCTTATTTTCTTTTTATTTTATTTTTTATAGAGATGGGGGTCTCGCTTTGTTGATGAGGCTGGTCTCGAGCTCCTGTCCTCAAGCGATCCTCCCACCTCAGCCCCCAAAAGTGCTGGGATTACAGGTGTGAACCACTGTACTCAGCTTCAGATCTTACTTTCTATTGGTTCATCACAACAACCTCATTGTTGTACTAATTGACTTTAGAAGGGGTAAATATTGTATTAATAAGTATGATCTTGGATAACAGCATGATTTTACCATATAAATGTTTTAATAAAACCTTTAATTTTAACTTTAGCAGTAGACTGATGGAAAAGTCGTGAAGATAGTACAGAAAGTTCTTATATGCCATAGACCTAGTTTCCCCTATCATTGACATCTTACATCACTGCATACATTTGTCACAACAAAGAAACCAATGTCAGCATGTTACTATTAACTGAACTCCATGCTCTGTTTGCTTTTTACTAGTTTTTCTACTAATGTCCTCCTTTCTGTCCTAAGATACCATATTGTATTTTGTGGTCATGTCTCCTTAGTTCTCTGGTCTGTGTTAGTTTCTCAGACTTTCTTATTCTCATGACCCTGACAGTTTTGAGATGTAGTGGCCAGGTATTTTTAGAATGTTCCCCAATTTTGGTTTGTCTGGTATTTTTCTCATCATTAAGCTGGGGTCATAATTTGGGAACACCAGAGAGGTGAAATGCTCTCATCACACGATATCAGGGGTAGGTATAAACTCTTAATGTTTTATATATTGGGCTTTCGGGTAAGTTTTTATTTCAAAAGAACAGTCCCACTGTTGCCTAACAGTTAGAAAACCAGTGGGTTAGAACATCCTTTATGTGCCATTTGACTAAAGTCTTGGTGGTACAGTGTTTTGAAGATCAGTGATGCTGAGACAATGTCTGTCTTAATTGGGTCGTTTTTAAAAATAGAAAGGTCAGCACCCAAGGGTGGTTTTGTTTGCAAGAAGCTAGTGGCCACTAAATAAATGTTTTCTAAGTGTGTGTATGAAACCGGGATAGAGACATGGAATTACACGAGAAATGTGTCAATTACTTTTCCATTTTGTTTTCTAATGGGAACTCTTTTCAGTTGATTTCTGCAAATCCACCAACATTTGGAGGATTTACTTTAGAAATCAATTAACAAATTTAGCTATACTGATTAAAAGTTTCCAAAATGAGACTAACTCCATTCCCAAAGTCCCCAGGTGCTACTGAGTCCCGCATGTGGGTGGATAGAATTCAGCAGTGTTAACAGGAAAATGTGTTTATGGGAGATTCCTGGGGGCCAGATACTCCTGGAACAGGAGATTTCTAAAATGGCATGATTGAGAGATTAAACAAAGGCTTTAAAGAAAGGTCTGCTGTGTTTGGAAGCACAAGGGAGGGTTACTTTGTTTTTTGACCCCTGCTAATTTTTAAAATGTATCACAAAATTGTCATTTATTAAAAATTATAAGCATCATCTAATCTATGTGGCTCTTAACCTGGAGTGATTTTTCCACCCTGGGGAATTTGGTAATGTCTGGAGATCATAGCTGGGACGGTGTTGTTGGCTTTTCCCAAGTAATCTCGAGTCCAGTGATCTCGGCTCACAGCAACCTCCACCTCCCTAGTTCTAGCAGTTCTCCTGCCTCAGCCTCCAGAGTAGCTACCTATGTATGTACCTGCTACATAAACCTTCCAGGCAGGCTGTGACACCACAACCCCCACCCCAGTTTTCCCTTTTGCCAAACGTTTTTGTACTTCTTTTTGCAAAGGTCTCTGAAATATACCCAGGAGTATGAGCAACATGTCTGTGGTTGAATCCAGTTTCTGCCAAGTATTTACAGGATGTGCCCTTGGGCAAGTTTCTTCACGTCTCTAATTGCAGTTGTTAAGGCTTCTTCAAGAGCAGATTGTTGTAAGGAATCAGAGGGTGTTGGGAACTAGACTAGGTGCCCATAAGTTGCGGTCACTAATGGTAGCAGCAACCACAAATATTTACTGAGTATGCATTGTTGGGGCTCTGTCCAGGCCCCTTCGTATTCCTCTTACAACCGCAGGGCTTCTGATGACTCTCCGTTACCAGATAGGGGTCCCAATCCAGACCCTAAAGAGAGGGTTCTTGGATCTTACGGGGTGAGTCCATAAAGTGAAAGCAAGTTTATTAGAGAAGTAAAGAAACAAAAGAATGGCTATTCTATAACAGAGCAATAGCACGTGCTGCTGGTTGGCCATTATTATGGTTATTTCTTGATCATATGCTAAATAAGGGGTGGGTTATTCATGAGTTTTCCAGGAAAGGGGTGGGCAATTCCCAGAGCTGAGGGTTCCTCACCTTTTTAGACCATATAGGGTAACTTCCTGACATTGCCATGGCATTTGTAATCTGTCATGGCGCTGGTGGGAGTGTCTTTTAACATTCTAATGCATTCTGATTAACATATAATGAGCAGTGAGGATGACCAGAGGTTACATTCGTTGCCATCTTGGTTTTGGTGGGTTTCGACGGCCTTCTTTACTGCAAGGTCTTTATGACCTGTATCTCAGTCTCTGTCTGGTGACTAACCGTGCCCTAACCTCCTGGGAATGCAGCCCAGTAGGTCCAAGCCTTATCTTACCCAGCTCCTATTCAAGACGGAGTTGCTCTGGTTCCAACGCCTCTGACAACACTTGGCGGCTTTCTTCTGAATGCTGGCACCCTTGATACTGGAGCCACCTTGCCATGTGTCCTGCACAGAGTGCTGGGAGTGCCTGTGAAGTCACTTCTGGCCAGGCAGTCCTTAACTAGTGACTGACTAGAGCTAGGGAGCATGAAATCCCAGCTCCCTTGTCTCCACATGGGACAAACTGCATTTTAATTTATGGTGCCCTTGCCAGCCTTCTTCCCTTATGAGTCTTGCTCCCCTCCTCCCCTTACCTGTCTCCCCTGGGAGCACTTTCTTAAAACATCACTTGCATCTGAGTCCTTATCTCAGAGTTCACCTGAAAAACTCCATATTCAGAGACTAAGCATTTCCCCCACTGCCAGGTGTGGTGTTAGGTGCTGATAGAATGTTGCCTCTGCCCTTGGGTAACTTAATGACCCCAGATTTCCTGCCCAAGGACATATGAAGTCTATGTTCCTCTTGTCTCCTCCTGGTCCAGATGTTGACTTTCACCATTATTTTGGTTAATGGTCTGAGTTGTCTCTGTTCCTAAATTTGCTTTCCTGTCTTTAGCTGTCCCTCTGAGAACGTGCTGCAGGCTGGATAGGTCCCAGCCTCACCGTGTGTCTACCTCTCTGGCTTTTCCCACCCACTTTCTCTTGGGATGCTCCAGGAATTCCAATTCTTCTCACTTTCTAATACAAAGTCGGGCAGCTCTTACCAGATCCCACATTCTCACTCAGCCCCAGGCCTCCCTCTCAGGGTTTCCGGCATAACAAGACAGTCTTTCATTTGATAGCACTCGTGTTCATTTGCTTTTTTTGTTTCTATTTATTTATTTATTTTTATTTTTGAGACTGGGCCTCGTTCTGTCACCCGGGTTGGAGTGCAGTGGCATGATCTCGGCTCACTGCAACCTCCACCTCCTGAGTTCAAGCAATTCTCCTGCCTTAGCCTCCCGAGTAGCCTCTCCGAGTAGTACACGCACACGCCACCACACCTGGCTAATTTGTGTGTTTTTAGTAGAGATGGAGTTTCATCATGTTGGCCAGGCTGGTCTCAAACTCCTGACCTCAGGTGATCCGCCCACCTCGACCTCCCAAAGTGCTGGGATTATAGGCATGAGCCACCACACCTGGCCACTCATGTTCATTTGCAAGCAGTTGTGGTTTTAAATAGAAATCCCTCTCCCATGTAATATAAACGTGTGTTATATAAAATCGTTCACATAGTTATATATAAGACACATAATTATATGTGTGTGTGTATGTACACATAAATTTTTTCATAAATGGGAATATGTCATAACTAGTATTATATCACTTTTTCTGTTCATAACTATAGCACATTTTTTTCTTTACTGAGAAGGAAAGGTGTCTATCCCATTCTTTTTAGAGGCTACATAGTATCCTATTTTATGGATATAAACCTAATTTATATAACTTAAATGCCTATAAATTAAAGAGTGATAACTTTAGAATTTTGGGCTGTTGTTGAAAGTAATGCTTCAGGTTTATATTTGTATCTTTTCTTACCGGTAGGAATTTATCATACAGATACACAAATGCAGTTCCCAGGTCAAAGGGAACACATTTTTATGATACTGCCAAATTGCCATTTCAAAAGATTGTACTACGTTATGTTCATACAAGAAATCATTTTCAGAGTCATCTCATAGATGCCACTTCAGGTAGGGCAGGATGACTCCCATTTTAGGGGGAACATAAATTTACTTCCAGAGTAAGCTTTCTTCCCCTTCTCCCAGGTTTGGTGTATTTTCTTAGCTCACCTAGAAGTGGCATGATTTTAGTATTTGAAACAGTATCACTTCACTTCTTAACTTCTCTATTTTGTTTTCTGCTTTTAGACAGATGCATTGATAACTCCATTTGTGGGTTTAATAGACCACAACTTCCAGGCCCAGCCGAATCCTGCTGAAGTTAAGGATGTATTCCTGGTGCCTCTGGCCTATTTCCTGCATCCACAGGTCCATGACCAGCATTACGTCACACGTCTCGGTCACCGTTTTATTAATCATATCTTTGAGTACACAAACCCTGAAGATGGTGTCACTTACCAGATCAAGGGAATGACGGCAAACCTTGCAGTGTTAGTGGCCTTTATCATTTTGGAAAAAAAACCCACCTTTGAGGTTCAATTTAATCTTAGTGATGTATTATCATCCTCTGAAGAGTTATTCCTGAAGGTTCATAAAAAAGCTACAAGCAAGTTATGATTTACGAGACCAAGAGACAAAGAACTATCCACGAGGATTCTGTGTGTGCTTATCCATAGAACAACAATAACGCCAGCTGTTGGAATTTGACAGGTGTGAATATTTTTTCTGCAGTATGTAGTTAGAATCTTTGCCTCTTTTCCAGTTGCCTTCTATTGTCTGAAAAAGTAAAAGTCATTCAAAAATGAAAAATATGTTTATAGTGTTGCATATTTTTACCCAAAATATGTTAATATTTCTTACACATATAAGAAAGAATATGTGGCACATAGTAGGCCCTTAATAAAGATTTGTTGAATATATGACCATGTAGCATTTACCTTATTTGTAGGAGGCAAATATATATATTTATTTTTTTATTTTTTTTTTTTTTAAGACAGAGTCTCTCTCTGTCACCCAGGCTGGAGTGCAGTGGCACGATTTTGGCTCGGCTCACTGCAACCTGCCACTCCTGGGTTCAAGTGATTCTTCTGACTCAGCGTCCCAAGTAGCTGGGATCACTAGCTGCCACTATGCCTGGCTAATTTTTATATTTTTAGTAGAGAAAAGGTTTCGCCCTGTTGGCCAGGCTGTTCTCGAACTCCTGACCTCAGGTGCTCCACCCACCTCGGCCTCTGAAAGTGCTGGGATTATAGGTGTGAGCCACTGCATCCGGATGGCTATATATATATATATATATATTTTTTTTTTTTAATCTGTTATTACATGTAACAGAAACTTCTGGCCATCCATCAAAACCTATCTTCCCTGTCCCCTATGGTGGTAGAGTTTAAGCTGGGTCCACAGCACTCCAGGTAGAAACAGCATTACTCCAGATCCCTTGCCATTCAAGTGAACTCTGGGACTTAGTTTAGGCCAATGAGTTATGGGTGTAAGTTGACTTTCCAGGTCATCTCCAACTTAAGAGATAAGCCAGTCTCCCTAGAGTCCCTCTAGTTCTTTTATCCATGAGCTGCAACGTGGACTTGTCTGCAACCCAGCCTTGACCATACAAATGAGGACATTTCCTGGGGGAATGGCAGAACCAAAAGATGTCAGAGCTTAAATCAATGAATGACTCTGTGGAACAAAGTAACCTTCCAACCTGGGCTCTTCCCTTGGTACTGTTACATCAGAAAAGAATAAAATTCGGTGTCATCTCTCTGCCACTATAATTTGGAGTCACTTTTCTATAGCAGAGCTAACCAGTATGCTCCAACACCTGAAAATAGCTAGACTATTCGTCTGAACTTGAAGTGTTGTGAGCAGTTAGAAATGAGGATGATCTGACACTTTTTTTTTTTTAAATTTTTTTGTGATGGATTCTTGCTTCTTCACCCAGGCTGGAGTGCAGTGGCATGATCTCGGCTCACCGCAACCTCCACCTGCAATTGTCAAGCGATTCTCCTGCCTCAGCCTCCCAAGTATCTGGGATTACAAGCGCCCACCACCACGCCCAGCTAATTTTGTTTTATTTTTAGTAAAGATGGGGTTTCACTGTGTTGGTCAGGCTGGTCTCGAACTCTTGACCTCAGGTAATCTACCTGTTTCGGCTTCCCAAAGTGCTGAGATTACAGGCATGAGCCACCAAGCCCAACTGATCTGATACCTTACATGTAGGTTCTGGGAAACACATAGGATGCCCTCCCTGGGTAGGAGGTGGGGTTCGGCAATCACCATCCAGGGCAGCTGAAATTGAGGAATATGAGAGGCTTCTATGCCTACCAATTGGGAGGGATAATGATGTATGTTTAGAGATCATGAGGGCAGAAAAACAGTGATTTAGAGCATCAGCCCCAAATCAGAAGACAAAAAGACAGACATTCTGTAATGCACCTTGAGGTCTTCTACTTCGTATGTGGGCATCTCCATATATCATGCTTCAGAGTTAGCGTGGGTTGTTTTGTTTAATTATATGAATCATCCTTGAGGCCAGAGAGGCAAGTGAGTCAAGCAACATAACCACAATTCTGTGACGGCAATTTCACATCTTATTGTTATTAGCTTTCTAGAGAACCAAACCATTTTTAATAAGACTTTGTTATAGTTGAAAATGTGATGCCCACACCAAACCTATCAATCAGCCATGCAGCTATCCATTGCTGCTGAGTTTTTCTTTTCTGAGTTGGCAAAGCCAAATACCTGATTGGCTGCTTTATACCCATATATGTTTAAGTGTCAGAACTCTGGCTCCAACCACGAAAGCAGATGTTGGGTACGCTTCCCCATTAACATTCTGTAACCAGCCCTGCGTGAACAGGCCTGAACTATTTCTGAACCATTACAGAAGCATTTGCAAATGTGTATTTACAATCTGACAGCAGTGTAATTGCCGGGTAGATGGTTGACCTCTCTGACAGTGCAGAAAGCCTCCCTTCCAAACTGTCTGTTTATGTGAACTCTCCCAGACCTGCCCAGTCCAGCTGAAGTCAATCTGAGCACACTCATGGCCACACAATTTATGGGGCAGGATGCTTAGCAAAGGAGATATTGCCCCTTCCTTCTTAGTGGTGTATTTTATAGTATCCATGTTCAGAGTCCTAGTTAAAAATATCTGGCTTGAATAAAATAAGTTATTGACAAGGTACAGATCTCAGGGAATCTCTGAAGCCACTGAATAAATCAGCTTCAAGAAGGACAGGGGTGCGCAGTCGCTCATGCCTGTAATCCCACCATTCGGGGAGGCTGAGGCGGGTGGATCACTTGAGGTCAGGAGCTCAAGACCAGCATGGCCAGAATGGTGAAATCCATCTCTACCAAAAACACAAAATTAGCCAGGTGTGGTGGTGCATGCCTGTAATCCCAGGTATTTGGGAGGCTGAGGCAGAATTGCTTGAACCTGGGAGGCAGAGGTTGCAGTGAGCCGAGATTGTGGCACTGTACTCCAGTCTAGGCGACAGAGTGAGACTGTGTCAAAAAAAAAAAAAAAAGGCAGTAAGGAACAAACACAGCTAACTACCTCAAAGCCAGAAGGATGTGAACCTTCTCTTTTATATCCTATCATTATTGCAACAAGAAACATCTTGAATTGATTGACACAGACATAGAAAAACAAGAGACACTCAGTGCCTCAGTCCCTAATTCTATCTGGCCTAACATGGGTCACCTGGAAGGTTTCCAGGAACCTGAAAAGATGTTCAAAAGCAAGGGTAAGTGGGGGCTAGATGGACATCCCAAAACACCTAATCTCTCCAGTCCCTAGATTTTATAAATTCTCTACATTCTGCCATCCAGACAGTTCGACTCTGTCTTCTTTGCAACCCTGCAGTCTTGGTAAAGAAGTGGTTGAGATGGCTGGGTGCTCACACCTAATCCCAGCACTTTGGGAGGCCAAAGCTGGTGGATCACAAGGTCAAGAGATTGAGACCATCCTGGCCAACACGGTGAAACCCCATTTCTACTAAAAATACAAAATCTAGCCGGGCGTGATGGCACACGCCTGTAGTCCCAGCTACTTGGGAGGCTGAGGCAGGAGAATCACTTGAACCTGGGAGGCAGAGGTTGCAGTGAGCCAAGATCACGCCACTGCACCCCAGCCTGGTGATAGAGTGAGACTCCATCTCAAAAAAAAAAAAAAAAAAAAAAAAAAAGTGGTTAAGAGTGCTGAGTCTGGAATTGAGATGCCTAGCTTTGAATCTCAGCTCCAGTGTCAGCCTATTCTGTGACCTTGAGCAAGTTATTCCTTCTCTGTAGATCTCAGTTTCCTCTTCTGTAAGGTAGGAGAAATAAATTCTGTTTTAGGGCTGTCAGGGGTTAAATGAGTTAACACATGTGACCTCTTGACTTAAAGCATACCAAAGCGCTCAGAACAGTGCCTCGAAAATAAGTGCCCAGTTACCTGTGGCTACTAATTATGGTACCATTATAAAACTATAACATTATATCATAACAATAACAATAATCATTGTGATTTCTCTAGTTCAGAGTTAGACGAACATTTATTAAGCACCTATTACGTACCCAGTCTTTCATTTTATTTCATTAACCCTCACATCAACTCTTTGTAGTGAGTACATGCTATTATTATTCCTATTTTTAGATAGGAAACCTTGAAGATCAGGGATGCTACATATTTGCTCCTTGTCACACAGTTCATAAATGGCAAAGCCAACATCCAAACCCACATGCCTGAGTTTCATACCCCATGCTCTTTCTGCTGTAACCACATACTTGAAGATGAAGCAAGAATAGAAGGTTAAATTTACATCTCCCTTGAGTCACCACATGTGAAAGGGAAAGCAATTCAAAGTGAATAAACTAGAAAGAGTGCAGCATTTATTTTTGTCTTCATCATGTCCTCCAGCTTATTCAGCTGGTGCTGCACACAGTGAAATGAGTAATTAGCCAGGATGATTTTAAATAAAATGGAACATACCAATTAATAAATGAAAGTGCTGGCACACTTGCTAATTTAACAACTTGTTCATGGTGCCAGCTTTCCAGTTAAAGGACTGAGAAGAGAAAACGTTCCTCCACCTCTTCGACAAGATGATTAGATATTATCCAACTGTTTATTCTTGTTAACAGTTGCTTTCTTATTTGAGAATAGCATGAAGTTTTGTTAAAATTGCTAGAGTGATCATCTCCCAGTCCACTTATCTCAGATGTGACATACTTGGTGTGGTTCCTAATGGGACCTGTGCGTATACTCAATTAAGATTTTTTATTATTATTTATTTATTTTATTGCGATGGAGTTTGCTCTGTTGCCCAGGCTGGAGTGCAGTGGCTTGCTGCTGGCTCACTGCAACCTCCACCTCCTGGGTTCAAGCAACTCTCCTGCCTCAGCCTCCTAAGTAGTTGGGATTACAGGCATGTGCCATGATGCCTGGCTAATTTTTGTATTTTTAGTAGAGGCAGGGTTTCGCCATGTTGGCCAGGCTGGTCTCAAACTCCTGACCTCAAGTGATCCTTCATCTCAGCCTCCGAAAGTACTGGTATTACAGGAGTGAGCCACCGCACCCGGCCTCAGTTAAGAATTTTTTATTGCCCTCCCATCCCCACTCAGCCACCTCCCTAGGCCTTGCCACATTGAACACAACTCAGACTTTATGAGCCAATTTCTCTATGCACACTTCTTCAACTACCCCTTACTTTATATTATTAGCATGGACACTACTTCATTGCATTTCTTTGCATATCTGTACAATACATGTGTATCTTTGTGTTTATTCCAGCCCTAACCCTGGAAGGGACAGAACCACGTACCATAAGACCCCTCAGTCTGAGTTCCCCTATCCTCAGACGAATGGACCAAGCATCAATGGCCAACCCATTGGTGACCCTAATTCAATGGCCTTTGACTTCTATGATCTGCTTAAATA